CGTCACACGCAGCACCTACCGATACTGGCAGAGACAAGGCGCGGATTCGAGCTGCTGCTCTACTGATCCAGTACCGGGTGTGACTCAGGACAAAGGAGCAAAAGCCTGAAAGGACGTTTTGAGGGTCTGTAAGCGCATTGTCTGGTGGACTGGAAAGATGATGGAGAGCACGGGAGGGCCATACCTGAACACGGCTGCTGTGACATCCCCTGTGGGAATAGCTCGTTTGCTGCAGATGACATTTGGCTGCACCACATTCAGCCTGGTTGCACACCAGGGGGGATTCAGCGCAGCATACGGCACTTTCTGCATGTTTGTCTGGACCTTCTGTTTTGCCATCACTGTCTTCATCATCACCTGTGAATTCACACATCTGCACAGCTGCCTGAGCATTTCCTGGGGAAACTTCACTGCTGCTTTTGCCATGCTCGCCACACTCATGTCGGTCACGGCCGCAGTGATCTACCCACTCTACTTTGTCCAGCTTGGCTGTTACCCCATCGGCTGCGAGGTGAGAGACTTTCGCATCGCAGCCAGTGTCTTCGCAGGCCTCCTGTTCTTTGCATATGCCACTGAGGTGTTCTTAACCAGGGCAAAACCGGGACAAGTCACCAGCTACATGGCCACCATCTCCGGGCTTCTGAAAATCGTGCAGGCCTTCGTGGCCTGCATCATCTTTGGGGCGCTGGTGAACGACAGCCAGTATGGCAAATACGTGGCGACGCAGTGGTGTGTGGCTGTCTACAGCTTTTGCTTTGTGGTGACAGTGGTGGTAGTGGCCTTCAGTGTCACAGGTAAGACCGCCTTACCGTGGTTCCCCTTTGATCGCTCTGTGGTCGTCTACACCTTCGGGGCCGTGCTGCTGTACGTGAGCGCAGCCGTCATCTGGCCGGTGTTCTGCTTCGACAGCAAGTACGGCTCCCCGCGGCGCCCCGGCCCCTGTGCCAAGGGCAAGTGCCCCTGGGACAGCCAGCTGGTGATTGCCATCTTCACCTACGTGAACCTGCTGCTCTACGTCGTGGACCTGGCGTACTCCCAGCGCATCCGCTTTGTCTCGCACCTCTGAAACGCGGGTCCGCCGCTGCAGAGCCGTCCCAGTGCCACAAGCCACGGCAGTGGGGGATGCAGCAGGAGGTGGGATGAGGGGAAGGGAGGCACTGATCAGGCACGCACACAGGAACCATCAACCAAACTTCAAGGTCAAGCCTGACTGGACCAGCAAATTAACTACCTGTAGTGGGTGGAAGAGCCCACCTCCCCCATCATTCAACATCTGCCTCAGCTGCCGGGTGCCACGGCGAAGAAATGATGCAGCTGCAAGTATGCAAAATGCCCTTTCATCTCCAGGAGGCAGAAATGCTTGCTGCTGCAACAGCGGGTCTGCAGGCTACTGGGTTACTGAGCCAACTATTAGGAAAGACACCAAGGATTTTGAAACTGTTACCAACGCTTAACTGTAATCAAGTGACTACCCAGGAAGTGGGAAAGTTAAAAGCTGCATCAAGGAACACCAGTTGTGGAGATGAAAAACAATCCCTCAGAGTTTGGGTTAGTTTGGGCTGTGTGGTGAGACATGAAATGCTTGCAAATGTGGGAAGTTCCAGTCAGGATGTTTCTGAGAAGAACATCATAGCTGTAATAGTATTGTGAAGATTACCAGTCCTTTCCCTTCCTCTCCTCTCCTTTGCTGTTTTGCACGGAAAAATAATATCGTCAAGCACGCACCTTGGGGGGGAAGCATGGGATATTCCTATTTAGCAAACACAGAGTCATTACAGAAATGAAAATTTGTGAAACCGAGGCTCTCCTGTCAAGAAACAGGGTGTAGAACAGAGCCAAACTGCACAATAACTGTGTGTAACTTGACATCCTCGCTCGAGCAGGACCAGAAGGTACCTTGGCATGTGCTCTGTCTCAGTTCAATATGCCACCATTTCTTTATACTGATGTCAAGAATTTTTTTTTTTTTTTCTGGAATCTTAAAGATAAATTCTGGGGGGAGAGGGGAAGGGGATGCAGAGATTAATTGATCTCACAGCACTGCATAAAAGATCAAATGGGGCAGGGGAGGGCATGGGCTGGCCAGGACGTGACAAAACTTGCATACAGTGGTAACAAATTGGGAGTGCTGCCTCAGACCAGATCAGGCACTAGGATTCCCGAGCTCTTTGCGTCACCAACGAGCTGCATTTCTCTGACCCATCCCTGACAAAACACCCACTTTGAAGTCCCACATTGCATAGCTCAGATTTCAAGCTTAATAGGAAGAAATGTTAATTTCTGACCCAGCAAGAAACCAAAGCAGTCTGAGTACTTGCACAGAAAGCATGCAGCCTAGATAGGTTTGATTAAAATCTGAAGTAGCTGAGTGTCAGAAGCAAGATTTATTTTTAAACAAATTAAAATAAAGCTGAATGGCAGACTTACATACTACATCTCCAGAGATTTTTATACTTTCATCTTGCTCTCCATACAGCTTTTATTTCACCAGACATAACCCTTCTGCTTTCTGCCAGAGAGTGCAGCTCAATTTATTTTGATGTATGAAGCCTGAATGCAGACCCAAAAAAGTATATACACAGGACTGCTGAGACCTTTGCCTGACATTCTTTGTAGCAGAGTCACTCAGGAAAAAGGAAGGAAACTTACTTTTCATCAGTGCTTTGTATGGGGTTTGAAAAGCAAAGGAAGAAATTGTTGGTGCAACAAGAGGCTGGCCAGATTGTTCTAGGGCAAGACCCAAGACTGTCTACTATAGATACAAAACAGGATTTTGAGAGCTTTATTTCTTGCCACCCAAACAAATTCAGAGGTTGTACAAGTAAGAAATGCTAACTTGGGAAAGTAAGTCAATTTGTGTTGGAGGAGGCAGTGTACAGAGAGCCATTGCACACAAAAGGAACCTTAGGCATGGTGTATTCTTTTTAAACCCATCAACCTGGACAAATCAAGCTCTCACACTTGAAAATTACTTATTTTTTATTAGAGCACTAAAAATCAAATAGGTGACTATGAACCATCATAGCTTCCGTTACAAAATTCAAACCTGCAAAAGCAGGAATGTTGCTTTACAAAAGCACCTTCCTGTGTGCCCTGGAGTGGCTCCGAGGGGGCTGGTGGAGGCCCCGCAGGCAGGGGCTGCTTGTCCCCAGACTCTGCAAGTCTTTTGGGCAGTCAGGTCTGTCAGAAAGCTCTTCAGCTGGTTAACACCTTTTTCAGCTATGCATTCACTTGCTTTTTGCTGTGAAGGTTTTATACCAAGTAGAGCAACTAGCAGGAATATGATCAAATCTGCTAATGACAGGAGTTGATGCAACTTAGTGGCAAGCACATAAAGAAAGGCCCAAGAGAAATAGGTAACTGGAAAACAATGGCGGTAAAATTTAGTGCCTTCACAATAAGGAGGAAATAGAATTTAACATGGAAATCATGATACCACTGACTGGAGGAGTGGAAAGACAAGTCATTGCCAAGAACAGTGTGTTCAGATTTAGCTGCTTCATCTGCCAGCCAAAGACTGAGCAAAAAATGTCAGCATGGTCAAAATGGCAAAAAAAAAAAAAAGATTGTGGGGACAACAATCTACTCTTTTAGGAGGGAAAAAAAAAATCTAAAAAAATCAAAACCTCATGCTTCAGTGGTTAAAACACTCACTAACCATTGGAAACTATGAGATTACCCAATCTAGGACAGAGAACATCCGATAACTGCTTAATACGATTTCAACAACCAATCCTGTCATGATTCAGTTAATTAAACCCCCCTTTATTTTCAGAGCTCATCTTTCCCTTTAATTAATAAATCATGATCAAGTAACTTGCCATAAAACAGGCTTCCTAAGACACCAATCATTCTCAACTTTTTTGGTAGACTAATTTCAGAATATACACACATTCGTTTAGAATTACAGGTTTGTGTTTGCAGCCAACTAGACAGTTCCTACAGGACTCCAACGTGAAATATATCTATAAAAAAAATGAATCTTGAACCGGTTGGGGTTTGGTTGGTCGTTTTTTTTTCCCTTCTCTTTCTGAAGACTAGGATTCAGTATCCCTGAAAGACAATACTTAGGAATATTCATCCACACGAGATGCACTGAGATTTATTTCTGTCCATAAATAAGAAAAAAACGAAAGGAGACGAAAAACAAAACAGCGTGGTAAGATTACATTTTGGGGGGGGGGGGGGGGGGGGGGGAAAAGCACCGCCTGGTGCCAGTTTTTTGCAGTGCCGTATTTCAAACCGCCTCGGTCTCCTCTCACGGCACCGCCGCGGGTGCCCCCGCCCCGCGGGCCCCGCTCCCCCCGCCGCCCGCCCCGCCGAGCCCCTGTGCCCGGGGAAGCGGTCGGTCACCCCGAGAACACGAGAGCGGCTCCGCTCCGGGATCCAAGGCGCCGAGTCGTTCCCCGGCACAGCGAGGACCCGCTCGGGCGGGGGAAGCGACGCGCCCCGGGCCCCTCCCGCGGCCGGCCGAGCCGGGAGGAAGGGCGGCAGCACCGGGGGAGGGGGGCCCGGTTCCCGCGCCTGCCGCTCCCGCCCAGCCCCGGGGGGCTCGGCCATCCCGCGACGGGCCGCGCTCGGCTCCGCGGCCTCAGGCGCGGGCAGGAGCATCCTGGGGCGCGCGGCGCGGCGCGGCCCCTCCCGCTCGGCGGCCGCACGCGGCGCCGCCCGAAGCTTCCAGAAGGGCGCGCGCTGCCGGCCCGCGGCGGCGGCGGGAGAGCAGCGCCCTCTGGCGGCGCGGCGCGGCGGCCGGTTCCGCCCCCCCCCCCGCCTCCGTTAAAGCGGTGAATGATGCAACACCCGATGCCGGTTGCGCCAATAGCGGGCGACGGCTGCGTCGGTGGCACCGCCCCTCGCCCCTGAGTGGCGGAGAGCCGGCGCGGTCCCACCCTGCCGCTCGCCGATTCGCTGCGCGCCGGCGCCCCGCCCCGCCGCCGCACGTCACCGCCTCCCTGCGCGGTGCGCGGCCACGTGGACGGCGGCGCGGCTGCAGGTGGGCTCCGCACCGCACCCCACCGCACCGCACCGCTCCGCTCCGCTCCGCTCCGCACCATGAGCGTGGGGTTCATCGGCGCCGGGCAGCTCGCCTTCGCCCTGGCCAGGGGCTTCACGGCAGCAGGTGGGCGCGGGGCGCGGGCGGAGCGGGCGGTGCGGAGCGGGCGGTGCAGAGCCGCCCGGGCTGACGCGCGGTACTGTTCGCAGGGGTCCTGGCCGCGCACAAGATCACGGCGAGCTCCCCGGACACCGACCTGCCTACCGTGAGCGGTCTGCGGGTGAGTGCGGGCGGGCGGGCGGTGGCACCCGCCCCGGCCGCCCCCCCCGGGTGACAGTGGTCCCGTTTTTCCTCACCCGCTGCAGAAGATCGGCGTGAACTTCACGGTGAGCAACAAGGACACAGTGAAGAGCAGCGACGTCCTCTTCCTGGCCGTGAAGCCCCCCATCATCCCCTTCATCCTGGAGGAAGTGGGCCCTGACATCGAGGCCCGGCACATCGTGGTGTCCTGCGCGGCCGGCGTCACCATCAGCTCCATCGAGAAGGTGAGGGTCGGCGTGGGCTGGCGCCCGTGGGCTGGGGCCCGTGGGCTGGCAGAGCACCGGTGCCTGTGGGTGACCGGCCGCGGGGCAGGACCGTGCAGCAGCGAGCCCTGAGCCAGTCCTGCTCCTGCGGCCCCCAGCAGTTGATGCGAGGGACAGGTGCTACTTGCGCTCTCCAGGGCTAAATTCATGCAGCAGCCAACTGGTTGCTTTGGGTCACCTTTGCCTGTCCTCATCAGAAAAAGCTGTAAGAGTCTTTATACCAGCTTTTTTGTTATATGAGAAGCTGTTAGATCTTTTCTCTTTCAGTAGAGGTGGGTCATCTCCCCTGAATTTCGGCAGACTTTGTGCTAAGTGTCTGCACGAGCTGTTTTGGAGACATGTGGGTTGATGTGGGAATGAGGTGTTTAAGGTGTTGTTCCCAACAGCAGTTCTGCCCAGCTTCCTATTTGCTGGTACAACTGAAGACTTCACATTTAAGTTTTGGCCTCTTTGGCTCAGAGCAGGGAGTTCGGAATACAGGAGTCTCTTTTCCCTCTGCTTGTATTGTTCTTGCCCCTGTGGAGTCCCTTCCTAGACAGCCTATTTGGTATGGCAAATATGCACTAAAGCTCTTTTTTTTTTTTTCTCTTCCTTCTTTCTTTCTTTATCTCAATAATTTTCTGCCCTAAGAAACTCTCTACCTTCTGCCCTACACCAAAAGTGATCAGGTGCATGACCAACACCCCTGTGATTGTCCGAGAAGGTGCTACGGTCTATGCCACTGGGACTCATGCGGATGTGGAGGATGGGAAGCTCTTGGAACAACTGATGGCCAGTGTGGGCTTCTGCACCGAGGTGGAAGAGGACCTGATAGATGCTGTAACAGGGCTCAGTGGCAGTGGCCCTGCATATGTATGTGCTACTTCTTCAACTTGTGACAGTCCTGCAGAGAGTAGTAGGCTTTGCATGCAGTGAAAGTCTGTGCAACTTCAGTCTGTCATTTCTTGGTTTTCTTGTCACTCACATTCGTGATGAGACATGTAATCCAGGTGTCCAGTTTATAATCAGTTTGGGTCAACAACAGAAGTCCATTACCAGTCGGATGAGTCTGAAGTCCATAGCCAGCATGCAGTGTCCACGTGTCTGTGTTGCAAAACATGAGCCTGTAGTTAGTATGACCCAGAAGCTGAATTTCTCCTATTCCCCCGACTCCTGAGCTGGAACTAGTGGGAGGGAAGCCCGGCATAGCACATGTGCAGTAAAGGGCGAGCCTTTTGTCAAGTCTGTAAGCGATGGGAGTCACAGTGTGATCCTGGAGCCCTGAATTCTCTCCTCCCTGAGACCATCAGTCTCGGAGTAGAGGCTTTCAGTCACCTTTTTCCTCTGTCTGGTCTCAGGCATTCACTGCCCTGGATGCTCTGGCGGATGGGGGAGTGAAAATGGGACTTCCCCGCAGGCTGGCTGTTCGTCTTGGAGCACAGGCTTTGCTGGTCAGTATTTCCTTCTCCAGAACCTGCTTGAGTCTGCGCCTGCTCTGTGCAGAGTATTCTGCACATCATGGCGTCAGTCCTCTTACTGAATCTACTTTAAAAGATATGTTTGGTTTGACTGCACACAGGTTCCCGGTGAGGGGACATAGGATGTGTCCGCAGCAATCTGCTGGCGCTGATGGTGGTGTGGGAGCTGGGTCCTGGGGAACCGTGACTCCTCTGCAGGCTTTTTCAGCTCTGAAAAGTGTTATGGCAGCCTGCTAATGGCTCTCGGGCAGGAGCCCAGTTTTGCCCACTGTGAGTGTTAGGTGCTGCTCTGTGCAGTGGAGGGCAGGAGTGTTTGACAGTCGGTTCCTCAATCAGAACTCTGGCAGCTGTTTTCCTCACTACAGGGTGCTGCCAAAATGCTGTTAGAATCTGAGCAGCATCCCGGTCAGCTGAAGGACAACGTCTGCTCGCCCGGGGGAGCCACCATCCACGCCCTGCACTTCCTGGAGAGTGGTGGTTTTCGCTCGCTCCTTATCAATGCTGTGGAGGCTTCCTGCATCCGGACAAGGTGGGCACCCAGCAAGTCTTAAAGAGCCTGCAAAAGTTGCCCCTCACACTCTCTGTCTCTTCTTTTTGCTATGTCTTTCTCTTCCTCCACTCCATTTCAGGGAGCTGCAGCATTTGGCAGACCAAGAGAAGATCTCGCCAGCAGCCATAAAGAAGACTTTGTTGGATAAGGTGAAGCTGGAATCTCCTTCTCTGTCCGTGGCATCTGCCAGCAAAGTCAGTCTGTTCACCCATAAGAGCCCCAGCAGCAAGAGGAACTGACCAGACTGCTGTAGTCTAGCTGTGCTGAACATCAGTCTCCTCCATGCCCTTTCATTTTTGTCTAAGGAAAAACGCTCACGCTGAATGTTGGTGTCCCCCCATACCTGGCTCTTGGCTTGCAGCAGCTGTGTGGCAGTGCAACGCTGTACCAGAGGGCCTTTAGCCTGTAGTGGTCTTGGTGCAAACTGTCCCTGGCATTGCTGTTCTCTGTTGGGCAGGGGTGATACAATCAGCAAACCTTCATCCAGAAGCCTTGAATACTTCTAGGATGCAGGCTGTGTTCCTGGTGTCCCATGCAGAAATGGTTTCTATTAGGGTTTTTAAAGAGGTTTCAGAATGTCTTTTGGTTTCAAAGGTTTGAACTAGGCCTGGATCCCTCTTGCCCCGTGTTGCATCTGCTGTCAGTGCTTGTGTCTTGTTGCTGTCTTTATTAGCTAGAGCAGGTGCTGCCACACAAATGCAGTGCTGCGCACTACATTAGAGTCTGGGCCCTAAAGCACCTCTCAGAAGGGACCAAAGTGCCTCTGCCCCATCTCCCATCTGCCTTGACTTTGAGAGACAGATGGTGTGAACCTCTAGTACCACACTCCGTTTCTCTTTGACAGCCGCCCTTTCTCTGCTCTGTCTGGTTTGGGGAACTGTGAACCGCTCTCACTGTCCCTTCTTTGCTGCTAGCCTTGGTTGGGCAGGTGGAGAGGTAGTGTGTGCTCCCGTTTCACTCTTTCTCTGACACCTCTTCATGCTCTCCATGGGCAGAATCTGCTCCCACACACCCATGGGCATGTTTCAGCATCACTGTACTCCCTGATGCTGTCCTTGCTCTTTGCCTTGCCCCTGGGGCAGCTGGGAGCAGAGCTGAAGTCGACGACAACCTCCTCCAGAGAAAGCTGCTTTCTGTACTGTTCCCTTAGACTGAAGCAGGGGTTTGTACCCGGGTGCTGAGCTACTGCGTGTCAGCAGGACTCTTCCTCAGCACCTTTCCTTGAATCAGGCTGTACCTCCTTGGACTTGTGGATGCCCGTTGACAGTGGCTGCTCTGCTTCAGCTTGTGCAGTCCAGCTGTGTTGTGGACTGCCTGTCCCTTCCAGAGGGGACTTCTCCCAGCAGAGCCCCTGGACTGGTGAAATCCAGCACAGCATCCTTCAGTGTCACCTTATGTTGGCTCAGTCATGTGTCTGGTATTTTCTAGACCGTTTCTTTTTTTCTTCCTGTTTCTCTGAAGGTGTTGCACTGCTAATGGCTAGGAAGGGAAAACACCTAGAAGAAAGTTCAGGGCTGCTTCATGCAGTTGTACTCCTAGTTCTTTAGAATACAAAACTAAAGGGAAGCAGAGTCATCTGGTCTGGCTTACGGCTCAGATCTTGTCCCACCTCACCTAGTTTGTTCTGCATGAGAGACAGGAGGAAAGCCAGTCCTTGCTTGAAACAAGAGGTTCACGGAGGACTTAAGAATGCCTGATGCCTGTCCAACAACAAGGACTTGCTTGGTGAAATACATCCAGATGACTACGCCTCTGCAGAGGAGGAAGACCCTTGCTGTTTTGGTCTGGAGAATTACCCATGTCTGACTCAAATTTATGAGCAAGAAACAGCGGCAAACTATGGGGTCTGGGAGCAGTGGTCCTTTCTGCCCCTGAAACTCCAGTATTTGTGAGGGAAGGAATCTGGGCTGGGTTGTGGTAGCAGCAAGCAGAGAGGGTGGCCCTGCTTGACCCTGCTGGCTGGCACAGCCCGGAGCGCCCGGCCAGGCGTGAGCAGCACTGTGCTGTGTCGAGGGCCACACAGCACCTCGCTCTGCTGGGGAAAGGGGTGATGAGGGTTGCAGGCTCAGAGGGGACCAACACTGCGATCAGACAGAAGGCAGGTTATTGCCTGTCATCTAGAAGGGCAGCTGACTGGTCCTTCAGGCAGTCTTGGGAGCCAGTGTCAGAACAGCAAAGAGAAGATGGCATCTATTGCTTTCTGTGATTTCTTTATAGCCAATGTCCCCACGTGGCTTCCTTACCTCTCTACTATTCTCCCAGAGCCCGAGCCCTGTCCCAAGCCAGAAAACTGCACAAAGCGTGCAAGCTGCCCCTACCACTTTTACTGGGCTGCAGTAGGAATAGCAGGCTGGAGGGGATGGAATGGGTTTGGGTGGATAACTGTTGTACTGTATTCTACCTTGGCGTATACTGGGGGAGCACTGGGAAAAGGAGGACATTTAAGATGGGCTTATTGTCTCCTGAGGAATCTTGGACATGCAGGTGATGCAGGAAAAGCATTTCTGTATCGATGCAGAGGCTGCCAAAGGTGCTAGTAATGTTAAAGCGTTCTTAGTGTTTAGGCTTTTGGCTGGTAGCAGGGTATGACCCTATAGGCATGACAGACGGTTACGCCTCTTCCCTCTTTGCATAATAAACTGCTTCTGTGACAGAGCTATGGCTAATCCCAGCTGTCTGGACTGGGTATATCTCTTGTCCCTGGCAGTGGCTACTGTGTCCTTGCTGCCTGCAGTGAATGTGCTCGAGGTGTGCTGCAAACCTATCTTTGAGGCTGGTTTGTCTGGGTGTGGGACTGGGTAGCAAATCGCCCCGTTCTTCCTTGTCACCCACGGTTCCTGAACACCAACACAAAAGTTTTTCTAGAGCCCTGTGCTACCAGTTTGCAGAGATTTAAAGAGAACAGGAGGAAAGTCTGGCTGAAATCCGATGTGAGGAACTTGGAGTGTTAATCATTGACTATCCTGACCCTTTAGGCTTTCTAGCGGTTTTGCCACTGTAGACAAGATTTCACAGGAGGCAGGTGGGTGCCGCATGTTCCTCTCTCCCCACTCAGAAGCTGTGACTCCCCCACGCAGACAGGCCAAGCCGGAAGTCAGAAATCTTAAGTACTGGCTGATGCAAAATGAAAGGAAGTGTTGCAGAAAGAGTTTCCACTTGGCTGACAAAGTGTGATGCAGAATAGAAGGTAGGGTGGCTGAGCCTGAGCCCCTCTGCAGGGACACTGGCAGAATGCCCCAGCGTACCCTTAAGAGGCAGTGCTACAGATGAACTTCCTAGATGCTTGTAGACCTGTAACTGAGCTGGCTGCCACAGTGCATGGAAAACCTAGCTACAGCAATGCCCTGCAGGACTCATGTTTGGTACTGCTGCAGATGCCTGGGGCCCAGACTACTTCCACCTTAGGAGCAGACTTTCTCCGTGATGTTGCCTTCACTCCCGTATGCCCAGTTTCACTACTGCACCCCTCCTACTAGCCCCTTGTCAGCCCTGCTTTGCTTGTAGCACAGCAGTAAATGCAGTAGGCATCAGTATTCCTGTTTTATAGACCCACAGTTCTAGCAGAACAGGCGGAAACACCTGGAGCAAGCTAGGCATGCTCTGGGAGAGCAGCGCTTCACAGCAGAAGAGCCAGCCCTGGTCTTGCTGTTTTTCAGCCAGGGCTTGCTTCAGCACTGCCCCCAGCGCCTAGGAGAGCTGCTGCGAAGCCCTCTTCTGTAAGTCAGCATTTCCTGCGGACACCTTGCTGCTCCTCCGTGCCGGTTCAGCAGCTCCAAGAAACTGTGGACGCAGCAAAGAGGAGCAGCTGGAGGGAGCGCGGGGCCTCCCGGGGAGCGGGGCAGTGCTGCCGGGCGCGCAGCGGCAGCAGCCGCGCTCGCATCCGCACCGGAGCCAAGTTAAAACCACGGAGCAGGAGGCGGCCCCGGGGGCGGCGGCACCCCCGCTCCCGCCGCCCGGCTCTTCCTTGCGGTGCACCGCTAACACGCGTGGGAACCCGAGGGAGGCGGCTGCCGGTTCCTGGGCCAGGGGTGCCGGGAAACCACCCCCCCACCTCCTCCTCCCCCCCCCCCGCTGCCGATCCAGCGGGGCCCGGGCGGGCGGCGGGGTCGCTGGCGGGAGGCGGCACCGGCTGCTGCCACCTCCCCTTTAAGGCGCCGCCTCCGACAGAAACGCGCGTCCCCCTTAAGGCCCGGGGCGGTTGCGCCGGGCGCTTCATGAATGGAGCCACGTGACCCAAACATCACGTGACGCGTCCGTGAGCGGCGGCGGCGGCGGCGGCTCGCGGCGTCCCGGTCCCTCCCAGCGCGGCCTCCCCGCCCGGCCCGGCCCCGGCGGCCCCCTGAGGAGGTGAGCGGTGCCGGCGGCGGCGGGCGCGGCCCGGGCGGCGGGCGCGGCCCTGGCACCGGGCGGGGCGGGGCGGCGCGGCGGGCCGGTCCCCGGGGGCGGGCCGGGGCGGGGCGGGCGCGGCGGGCCCGGGATGGCGGCGGGGGCCGCGCGCGGCCGCCGCCGCTGACTCACGGCGAGGGTTCCGGCGCCGCTGCCGCCCCGCCCGCCGCCCCGCCCGGTCCCGCCGCGGCCGAGCAACAGGTGCGCGGGGCCGCCGGCCTGTCCCCCGCGCCGCCCGCCGCCGCCCGCCAGCGCCGCGGCCGCGTCCCGCCCCGCCCCTCCCGCCCGCGGCTGCCGCCGGCCCTGGCCACCCCCAGTACCGGCTGCCCCCGGGCCGGGCCTGCCCTTCCCGCCCCTTCTGCGCCCCGCGGGCGCTCGCCATCCGGCCGGCCGTCCCCCGCCCCGGAGCCCGCTGCCGGTCCTCGGACCCCCGCTCCCGCCCGAGGCGGAGGCGCTGGGTGCGAGGGCCCCGCGGGCAGGCGGCCCGGGGCGTTCCGGCGGGACCGGCCTCCTCGCCCGGCTCACGCCGCGGTCTCTCTTCTTGCCCCGTGATTTTCCTCCTGACGAGGGGAGGTGAGGGTCTGGAGAGGGTGACCAGCCTCGACGGTGTCTTGCTCATTTTCTTGCGCGGAGGCTCGGCCCCAGGTGGGACCGTCGCCTTGCTGCTCGGTGCAACCGAGGGGCCATGGCCCCGGGGTTCTGGCCGCTGCTCCGTAGTGGCCCGTGGACCCGCCGGAGCCCCCGGTGCCCGGTGGGTGCAAGGAGCAGGCTGGGGTTGGGGCCGCTCGGCAGCTGCAGCGTCCTGGGAGCTGAGCGGGTTCCCTCCACGGTGGGAAGCCAACCTCTCCAGGGGGGCTGCAGAGCAGGCTGCGCAGCCTGACCAACACCGAGCATCTGTCTGGGCATGTGTGTCTGCGTGGGGGGGTCAGGCTGGCCAGGGCTGCAGATGTCTCTGACTGCCCAGGGTACATGACGTTTGAGCGGCACGGTTGGAGGAAGGCACTGTCAGAAGGCTGGAAGGGTCTCCGAGAGCTGTCTCTTTCTTTTATCTGTGTAAGCAGAGTTAAAACCGGGTGGGTGGGCGGATTCCTTGAGGTTAAGAATTGCTGTCAAAGTGCCCTGGGTTGGATTCGAGCTCACCAGGGACTCCTGTGGGGAGGGGGGGTGGCACAGGAGAGGCGCTGTCCTGACTTCATGTGCGATTGGGGGAGTCAACTGATTTGTTTGGATTCCTGGGAGGGCTGTGTGAGCTAATTCACAAGAAGGCAAATAAACAGAGTATGAAATCCACACTGGGAGAGAGTTCTCGTGCAGCGTGCCTGACCGCTGCCAGTAAACCACGCTCCTCTGCCCGCCTGGTGCTGCGGCGCCCACTGTGGAGCGCAGCCCCCTCCTCTGCCTCCCTGTCCCTACAGATGGGCCTCCCTCCCTCCCTCCCTCCCTCCCGGCGCTGTCCCCGGGCCAGCCTGCGCTGGAATGGGTGACGTCACCGTGTTTACACGGGGCTCGTGGCGCGGTTCTGCGATCAGGAATGTGGAGAATGGGGCCCGCATTGAATCATGCGCGGTGCTGTCAGCTCCCTTGTGCTGCCTTTGAGCTGAGGAGAGAATTGGCTGCGCTTGTGCTGAGTTCAGGCCTTCTGAGCTCTGGGGAAATGTGTTGAGCCTGCATTTTCTTCGTTGCAGTCATTGTGCTTGGCACTTTTCAGTGTGATCTTTCTTCAGGAAGCTATCAAAAGCTGAGCAATCAGCAGTCTGGAGAGTTAGGCCAAGTTTGGTCTCTGTCTTGGTGCCAGTTCTCTGGGTGTCCTCTCTGCAAGCTGCCAAATAGCCCTGTCTCTGATCCTTCAAATGGGACCCAGAAAATAGCCAACAACTAATCTCTGGGTGGTTCTTCCCATTTTACTGACTGACTTGTGTGTTGCTGTGACTTGTTTTGATCCCTTTGGGAAGAGGGATAAGGAGAGGTGGGACCACCAGGTGCTTTTGGGGACGATCCTGTTGCAGCTTTGACGGCTGTTGTGGGAGGCTTCTGCCTGGGTAAGGAGGTTGGATTCCTCTGGGTGAAAATGTTTGGCCCTTAAGAGTTCAAGAAAAGTTAAATTGCTGTTGTTAGGCTCTGGGATCAGCCTCTTCTCTTGTGTGCTGATAGCTCTCTCGCCTCCATCTCAGCTTTAGCAGAAGCCATGGTGCAAAGGCAGGAATGAGTCACTGCCTTTGCAGGGTCCAGTCTGTGTGAGCACCCCTGTTGATCCCACAGCCTTCCCCAAGGAGCTCTCTTCCCAGTACCCTGCCTGATGTGGCACGTTTGTTGCCTTGTTTGTTTTATTTCGTCTCTGCTGTAATGAAGGAAGCTTGAGTACTTGTCAGGCAGCTGGAAATTTTTCAGTCCCCCAAGGCAAATTTATGTGGTCCCACTGACCATACCTGCCCTTGGCTGCTTAGGCTCAGCAGAGGATGGTGCAGAGAGGTGCTGTGGGGGTGACACTGGTCTCCCCAGCTATTATTCCCTTCCTTCTCCTGTTTTCCCAGCAGCCATGTTGTTTGACAAGTGGGAGCAGAGGAAAGAAATCACAACAGTATGGGAGAGAGTGAAGAATGGATTTTGTGAAGCAGTTGCTTGTCTGCTCTCCATCCTGTGTTGGCTTGCTTCATTGCAGCTACCTTTCTTGGACAGCAAAGTGACCCTTTCTTCACTGGCACCGTCAGGTTGTAGCGGACATCTCGTTGGAAGGAGCATTGTCCTCTGGGTATAAATAGCCTGCCTCCTGGCAGGCTGGAGGCTTTGGGAACGTCTCTGTCGGTGTCCTGGGGAATGTTGACCCCGTTCACCTCTAATAGGTGGTAGATGCATTGCGAGGAGCCTGCGCCACATCTGCTAGAAGACATAAATTCATATTTGCTGACTTGTGCATCTGGTTCTTGGCTATAACTGTACATCACTGCCTCTTACATTTAGCAAAGCGGTAGCAAACAAAATTGCTGTTGACTGTTTGGCACTGAAGAGAGGGAAGGTACAGAGATTTTGCAGACTGCGCTTGCACAGGAATGCCTGCCTTGCTTGAGGAGGTGTGCAGTTCCTGCCTATTTGAGGCGCAGCTACGCCTGTCGAGCAATATCTGAGCAGATTAATTCATTGAGCAGTCTAGTAGCCCTCTGAAGTAAAGCCTGAGGGACGGAGGTATGTAGGGACAGAAACAGGAGCTTGGACAGGAGTCACTGTAAAAACAGGCCTGGGGATTGCTCTTACTAGTTCTGACTTCGTGTCTTCTGTGGCAGTGAAGGAGTCTGCTCTCTGGTTTTGGCCACCTTTAATCTCTGTTTTCTTATGAGCACACCTTGACTCTGAAAGTAAGGGAGGGAGGAGGTGTTTCTGGGCCCTGGCATTGCCAGGGACCGATATGAACTTTCTCACAGAAAAGACCTACAGCTAGGGTCAGCTTTGTGTGACTGGGAGACGTTAAAGCTGCTGTGGCATCGGCTCGAATTTGTGATGGGGTTGCAGTGTGCCCAAATGCTTTCCTGTGCTACAGTATCAGGTTGTCCTTCAGTTCTTGGGGAAAGGTTGGGTGCAATGATTTGACTTGAACCTGGATGTGCTAGCTTTCATGGGAAGCAGAAGTTTGGAGAGGCATGAGTGCAGCCGTGGTGTTCTGTCTTGCAGGATGCCCCGTGAGGCGTGCTGTGGAGGCAAAGGCTTCCCCTGCGCTCCTTGCCCAGGGTCGTGCATTCACGAACTGTACCGATTGCGTCCTTGGGGGCACCTAGAATCTGCTGGGGCTCTTGTCCTGGGGAGTTTCTGGGCTGGGCTTGGACACCTGTTGGAAGGGCGCATCAGAGCGGCTGGCTGCCTTGCTCTGCTTGGGAGTGACAAGGATGAGGCTGCGAGCAAGAGGCGCAGAGTGCCAGCATGCTGAGTCAGCATGACTGGCCTGGAGCAGCCGTGCTCTGGACCCAGCCTGCTGCCTGCCAGGCTATTTTTAAAAATGTGGCTTCCCTGTATTCTGACTCCTCCTAGTTTTTTAATTTCCCCCACCCCAAGTGAAAAAAAACAGCATTGCCACAAAGTCTCCGTGGGAGCAGGGGTGTGGAAGGGCAGCAGCTTCTGCTTAGGGACAGAATCTGCCATTTGTGAGTTCAGCTCAGTCGGGTGCTTGTGGAGTGTGGTCCGAGGAGGGGGGGAGTGGGATGTGCAGCAGCACAGGGCGTTGCTGCTGGTCCCTGCCACAGGAATGTCGCAGGCTCTGCTGCGTCCTGGGGGGCTAACCTGACCTTCCTTCCCTTCCAGAACCTGACTGACAAGGCTGTCGTGTTATGACGACCCCTAACAAAGGAAACAAGGCCTTGAAGGTAAAGCGGCAGGTGGAGGAAAGGGGTGCCGGTGGCGGGTGCAGGCATCTGCTCCAGGTTTCACGAGTGTGTGCTGCCTTCTCTTCCAGGTGAAGCGTGAGCCAGGCGAGAATGGGACCAGCCTGACAGATGAGGAGCTGGTGACCATGTCTGTGCGGGAGCTAAACCAGCATCTCCGGGGCCTGTCGAAGGAAGAGATCATCCAGCTAAAGCAGCGTCGGCGCACGCTGAAGAATCGGGGCTATGCGGCCAGCTGCAGAGTCAAGCGTGTTACCCAGAAGGAGGAACTGGAGAAGCAGAAGGCAGAGCTGCAGCAAGAAGTGGAGAAGCTGGCCTCTGAGAACGCCAGCATGAAAATGGAACTTGATGCTCTCCGCTCCAAATACGAGGCTCTCCAGAACTTCGCCAGAACCGTGGCCCGGAGCCCTGTGACCCCTGCGCGGGGGCCTCTCACCTCCAGTATGGGGCCCCTTGTCCCTGGCAAGGTTGCTACTACTAGTGTCATCACAATAGTGAAATCCAAAACGGACGCCCGGTCTTAGTGAAGCGCGTGTTGCCTGAGCTTGTCTGTGCAGGGCAATTAGGCACAAAACCAGCCTGGAATCCCCAAAGCACAAACCCTCCCCACATGGGTCCGGGTTCTTTCTACTTGGCCCAGGACTGGCCTGCTGATCACTCCAGTTTTATTTTGTTATGTCCAGATTGGTATGAGCAGTGGTGATGCGTCCCTTGTCCTGTGCAGACAGAGCCTCCCACCCAGCAGTCTGTAGCCCTTGGGCGCCCTTGGGACAGACTGCGAGATCTTGGTTTTCTAGCCAAAGAATATCTGTGCAGCGTGGCCGATGGCAGGGCAACGGAAGGGCTTGGGGAAGGTCCAGAGGGAGGCTTTCTTCCTGGGGGCCAGGAACCCTAATTTTCGGTCACTTCCAAAGGCTTTATTTCATTACTCTTCCAGGTGGTGCATCTTGGTGCCTGACTGCCAGGTGCCTGAACCTGCTGCTTTTGTCTCATTTGGTACCCGTAGTTGCAGTTGGGGTGTTCTGTGTAATAGGTTTTTATTCCTTTCTAGGTGTGCCTCTGTGCCCTAACAGTGGGTTTCCTTCAGACGTCCGTTGCGTTAGCCGTGTAAACTAGCAGTGGTGGAAAGGAAGATGCCCTGCTGCCTCTGCCCCAGCAATGGGGAGGGAGCTGGGACAGGGCCCTTGCGAGGGGCCCAGCACCCCAGGGGAGGGAGGGAAGGTACCGTGTTGACTGCAGGCCGGTTTTGTGCCTAATGTGTTGCACTGAACAAGACCAAAATCACTAGTTGTTCCCGTGTTTTGAGGGTATCAAGTGTCTCTAGTGTGATGGTTTACACAACCAGTTTATGTGGTTAAATAGCCCTTTATTTAAAGAGAGAAACATCATTTTAAGAGTTATTAAATTATCTAAGTTTAAAATTAAAATCAGACAGAAGAGAGAGCGTATTTATAGTCAGCTTTTTTATCTGAGAGGGCGAGAATATTTGACCATATAAATGGGGAAATATTCTCGGAGACTTTGCTAGTTAAAAGTTAATAAATAAATAATTTTAAAGTTTCTCATGAACCTCCCGCAAACTGTTTGTGGCTCTGAGGTTAGTTTTTATAAAGAGTTATCAGACTTTATTTATAAAACTTAGAAAAAGACAAAAAAAGAGGCAAGTCCTGTTTGATATCTTTTTGCAATTGTACCAAAAGTGACTTATTCTCGACCTTGCTGGCTTCCGTTGTGTCCCCTTGTGTTGCGCTCTCTGTGCTCTCTGAGCTCTTGCGTGGCGCTGTGGTGTGGTGGTGCCAGTGGCTGCCTTTGCCATGTGCTGTCATTTTCATGCTGCCGTCATTTTCCCTAAGCTCAACCGAGAGATTGAGTTGGAATCTCTCCGAACTCTCCAGAAGGATTCTGGCACACAGGCAAAGGCGCTGCTGTTCTTGAAGGCAAAAATGAATGGCTGGTGCAACTAAGTAGTGATGCCTGCCCAGAAAACGCTTCTCTGCAGAGGCGTGCTGCAGGAGCTCAGGCAGCTTCGGCCTCTTGCTGAGCCGCCGACACCGGGTAACTTGGTTACCTGAATGGGGAAAACATTGCGCTTTCCTTCCTCCAGCAAAGCTGCTAGAGAAGTAACGCAAGGGAGAATTGTCCAAGCTTAGGAGGAGGCTGATGGGATTTAACTCTGGAATTGGATCCTGTGGTCAGAACTTGTGTTGCTCTTGCAGCTCATCTGACAAGAGGGGCAAGTCTGCCCTGCCTGCCTTCTAGGCAGCGTGGGACCAGCGCTAGTCCTGAGTATCTGCATATTACTGAAAATTAGGCTGTGGCATGGTTACTGTCTTTCCTGGTGCAGCTTCTGTCTGTGGGTGTTGGAAGAGTGCTTAGACTTACAGCTGTGTGGCACAGCTGAGGAGCTATTTGTGGCCAGGCTCCATTTCTACAAACACTTTGATCCCCCTCTCCCCTCCCCAAAGATTTGAGCTGATTACTGACTAGTTTTAGAGAAGCAGGACTTGGGGGGTGAAGTCCATGTGATCTCCTGGCTGCTGAAGGTCTCCTGAGCGAAGGGGACAGACCAGGATGGCACAAGTGAAACCGCAGTCTTGCGGGGAGGTGCGATTCTCCATACTGGGTGGGTTTTGGCGATGTGTTTCTCACATAGCTGAACTGATACTGCTGTCCTCTGGGCTGAGAAGCAGGTAAATCTGATGAAGGCCAGAATGTGGCAGGAGAAGAGCAGATTGTTGGTGGGGATTTCCTGCTGGAGGTGGAGATCAGATTTGCTCTGGTTGATTTGGAGTTTAGAGAGAAGCTGTTTGGGATGTTTTTCCCAGTGAACTTCCTGAATGAGGAGCAGGTTGGAACATCTCATCCAGGCTTCCCCCGCCCAGCCCTGGGCTTTCTCTTCTCTGAGCTGAAGTGCCCGACTTCCCAGCCGTTCACCGGGCAGCTCTTGGCACAGAGCTCTGGGCGCTAACCTCTGTCTTCCAGCTGGTGACATGGTGCCTGGAAGAGGTGAGATGTTCCGGAACACGGAGACCTTCAGTTGGCCTGGGGTGTGAGTCCTAATCCTGTCCTTCCTGGAGCCAGCCTGAGATGGAACCTGGCTAAAGTGCCGTTCTGAACCCAGCTGGAGGCCTGACCTCCGCAGGGTGAGCAGCAGAGGTTTTGTGTAGGGGGCTGGTTAGGAGCTGAGCTGCAGGGGCTGGAGGCTGCGGTGTGAGGAGGGCCGCAACAACAGAGCAGGCGACGACGGGCAATCCTGCAGCCCTAGTGAACTTGCTTCAATTGTACTCTGTGGCGGGGAATGTCCCCCGTCTTTCCCTGCCTGCTGGGCGACAGCCACGCTGTTGCTGGTGAGAGGCTGTGCTGCTTTGGAGTGAGACCGTGAGTCAGGAGGACGGACGGACGGACGGAGCAGGCGGCAGCACTGACTCCACCAGGTGTTAACGCTGTCGCTTCTGCTCCCCAGCGCTGCGCTTGCCAGCTTATGGGCGCAGCCTGCTCCGAGGGGCAGAGTGCGCCCGGCGAGCCACGCCGTGTAGGGGGCAGCGGGCGCGAAGCCGCGGCCGAAGGGCGCCAGTGTGGTAAACGAGCTCTGTGGGGACCGGGCTGGGTGTCCACAGGGACGCGCTCCCCTTGCGAGTGCCGCTTCCCCCGTGCTAGCACTTCGGTTTTGGTTTTGTTCTCAGTGAAGTGTTGGACCCCGAGTGATGTATTTCTGCAGTGTCCAAGGAGTCTCCCGGTCCCCAGCCAGCTGGCTTCCTGCGCCCGCGCGAGGCGGCCCTGCCCCGAGCCGCCACGCTGACCTCTCTCTCGTATATAGCGTTCTGGAGTGTGACAGTTCGTGTTCCTGAGGTGATCGTCCGTTTGGTTTCCTGCTGTGAAGGGTGTCGTGTTTTCTTTCTCCTTTTCCCGGTGCCGTTACCGCGGCGGTTGGGGGGGGGGGGGGCGCCCCCGGCCTGCCTGCGAAGCCAACCCAACCCGCGGCGCGTACCCCCGCGCCGCCGCCCCGGGGCTTTGTGTATCTTGTGGTGAATTGTGTCAAGTGAACTGCAGCCCGGGCGGGCGTCGGGGGCCGGGGCGGGCGGCTGGGCGGAGGGGCCCGGGCTGCCGGGGCGGGGCTCCGGGGGCGGGCGGCGGTATTTATTGCTAAGTTATTGCCCGGGGCGGCGGGCCGGGCGGGCGTTATTTATTGCTGTACATAGTGTCCGTCCGCGGCCGCAGCCGCCGCCGTTGCCGTTTTGTACGTGACAATAAACCGCTTCCACACAGCCGCCGCCTCGCGCTTCCTTGGGGCGCGGTCCGCCGCGGCGCGGGGGGGCGCTGCCGCCGCCGGAAGCGGCGCGCGGCCGCGCGGGCGGGAGCGGGCGGCCGCGGTGGCGGCGCAGCGGAAGCGGAAGCGGGGGCGCTTCCGGGGCGCTTCCGGGGCGATGGCGGCCGGCGGCAGCCTGAGCCGCTCGGAGCGGAAGGCGGCGGCGCGCGCCGAGATCTTGCAGCAGGAGGAGCAGCGGGACCGACGGAGACAGGTACGGCCCGGCCCGGCCCGGCCCGGCCCGCCGCGCTGCCGCGGGCCGCCGTGACCTCCCGTGTGCACCGGGCAGGTGTCCCGCATCTGGAGGAAGCCGCCGGCGGAGCGGAGCCCCGAGGAGTGCCAGGTGCTGAGCGAGAGCGAGGACATCGTCAGGGAGCTGGAGCGGCGCCGCAAGCGGCGGGAGCGGCTGCGCCGGCGGCAGGAGGAGGTGGGCGAGGCGGGGAGCGGGGCCCTGCGCCCCGGGGAGGGGGAGCTCTGGAGCCGCGGCGGGCCGCAGTGAAAGGCTGCGGCGCCGCCTTACCGGCAGCGCCTCCGGCCCCCGAGGCCGTGGCTTCCCGCGCCCGCCCACGCTCGGCTCCGCAGCAGCCCGACTTCCACCAGCGGCTGCCGGGCCCGTGTGCTTCACAAACGCGTGTGGTTTTCTGCGTGTGCGCTGGGTGGGCTCGTCTCCTGGGTCTGCGTGTGCTGCTCTCCAGGGAGCTTTTCCCCTTGATCTGCCGTGGACAGCAAGTGTCTTCTTTTATTTAGAAACCCACCTGTGAACGTTCGTGTCCCTTTTCCTGGCTAGGCTAGGCCCATATTAAACCTCGCAGGGAGCTCCCTGTTCCATCTGATTCAGGGACGCACCGTATCGCAGAAACATGTGAACTTGCTCAGTTGTATTCTCCAGGTATGTGATGAACCGGAGGAGTTAAAGCGAAAGGCTACAGAGCTGGCAGCTGTTGTCCGGAACGCCAAGCACCTTGTCATCTATACAGGAGCCGGGATCAGTACGGTAGGATTCTTTGGGGGTGAGTGGCTGGAGCTTTGGGAGCTCCTTCAGGAGTGTTGCAATGTTGTTTGGACTTTTTTTTTGTGGTTTTCAAATGACTATGTGATGTGTGTTATGAGTCTGAGGTGCTCTGTTAATGCTGCTGCGCTGCAAACTGTGAGCAAGATGTTTGCGCGTTTGCATCGTGGGGTGGTGGCAGCTGCCCAAGAGATTTCGCGTCACCTCTGTGACTGTGAAGAAAGTGCTGCTTAAACAAGAGGATTGCTAGGCTTGCTTCATTCAAGTCTTTTCAACTACTTTTGGGGGTAAAACCTAAAACCAAGTTAGCTGATTAACTCTGTCTGCGTTAATGGAGAAGTAGGACTAGCTGGTGGTTACCGGAACTTAAAAATGACCGTTTAAGAAATGGGTGGTTTCAGTGGCCTCTTTTGGGAGAGTGGAAATCTGGTTCTGCCTCTTCTGATGTGTCATATGTCACCTTTGTTTGAACTCTGAGATGGGAACCTTATTTTTCTTTCCCTTTTTTACAGCCTTTGCTGATACAGGGCATGATTCTGGGCAGGGTGTAAGAGTGCTAATGTCACACATATTTTTGCTAAAGAATGCCGAGTGCAAGGTACCAGGAATCAGAGTCTAGTGAAAATAAGGAAAGCTTCAAGAATTGAGTTCTTTGTAGGGGAATGGGAAGTACCAAGGGTCAAAAAGAGTTATTTTAGGATTCCATAATGGTAAAATCGGAGAAAATAAATACTGGAGGTGAAAATGAGAGCTGTAAGGTAGGAGAAGAGATGCTAGAGAGAGAGAGAAAACACGTGAAAAGAAGGTTTTCCTCCGATTAGGGATCCACTGCACTAGAAAACTGGGAGTGAATGGAAAAGGACCTGTGAATGAGGTGTATCTGGTTGTCCTGGGTGAGACTGGGCCGATGTGTTTGTGGACAAAAGGTATGAACCTTCCCGTCAGGCCTTGTTTTTTTTCCTCTCCTGGTAACACAGGCAGCTTCCATCCCAGATTACAGAGGCCCTAATGGCATATGGACATTGCTGCAGAAGGGCAGGAGCATCAGGTGAGGAGACAAATTCTGAGCTGTGTAGTAGTAAAGCTGATCCTGAATGAGAGATTAATAGCAAGTCAACTTTTTTTTTTTTTTTTCCCCCTTCTTCTCAGGGCTACAGATCTGAGTGAGGCAGAGCCCACACTCACCCATATGAGCATTGCCTGTCTACACAAGCACAACCTGGTAATTTTTTTTTTTTCCACACCTCATTTGCATTCCTCTGCCTAAATATGATAAATAAAACCCATCAGAGAAAAAAAATCTTTTCATGAGATTGCCTAACTCCTGCTTTTACTCAGGTGGCTACACATCCATGTAGGAAAAAGCATCTGCTCACATACAGCTGAGTCTTCATTAGGCTAGCTTCAGACTGTGGCTCTGGCAGTTTTTCCCCTGGTGCCTTTTCTCTAATATTTTCTGGTTTTGCCTCCTTGTGAGGTTGGCCTGGGGACCTGGCCACAGTCAGCCAGACCTAGTAAAGCTCTGTTTAGCAGGAGGAGTCTTTTCATTTAGAAAAGGTCTGTTCTCCACACTTCTCTTGTGTTGGTTCTGCTCTGATGTACGGAGGCTGTTTGGTGTGTATCGAGACAGATGCGTCACCTGTATTTGAGCAGTAATTTGAGTCTTCTGCGTGTGTGTTACCTCAGTGCTTTACTCTATTCAAGGTGCAGCATGTAGTCTCTCAAAACTGTGATGGGCTGCACCTGCGGAGTGGGTTACCCCAAGCAGCAATATCTGAGCTTCATGGAAACATGTACATAGAGGTGAGTGGCCAGAACAGGATAAAGTTACCGTCTAGTGGCCGCCCAAGAAGATAACGTAAGCTATTTATCTATCACTACCTCAAGAAGAATTGGTACAAGGGCTAGCCTCTGCTTAGTTTGTGTCTCCAGGCCATCAGGTTTGGGGTTGAACTAGTTAGCAAGCACCAAAACAAAATATTCTGTACAACAACTCTAGCTTTTTCTCTGGGCCTGCTAGAGCCTTCTACTTCTGACTGCCCTTCCTCAGACCTTCTCTGGAATCCCTCCTATTGTATAGCCAACAGGCTCCCTGTAACTCCACTTGCTAGTTGAGGGTTTTCCAAACTCTTCCAAGTTAGCATGTGACCCCCGATGATCTCTTCTACAGCTTCCAATTTATTGTCCCCCAAAATTGCCTTTCTTCTAAGAGAACTGGCTGGCTCCTGGCCTTTCAGCGGGCTAGATGCTAATGATGTAACGGGATTTTTGCTTTCGTCCTGCACCAGGTCTGCACTTCCTGTACACCCAACAGAGAATACGTGCGAGTATTTGATGTGACGGAGCGCACAGCCCTGCACAGGCATCACACTGGCAGGATGTGCCACAAGTGTGGGGCACAGTTGAGAGATACAATCGTCCACTTTGGGGAGAAGGGGACGTTGAGACAGCCCCTGAACTGGGAAGCAGCAACAGAAGCTGCAAGCAAAGCAGATGTGATTCTTTGTCTGGGTTCCAGCTTAAAGGTAACTTTAGAGACTCGGTGAAGATTGTTAGCAGCATTCCCTCTTGGTGATACACCTTGGTGCTGAGCAGTCTCCTCCCAAACAGACAACTGTAAACTCTGGTGTCAGGATTCGCCCACCATCTGTGATAGTCTCTCTTCCTCCCTCTTTCCCCTCCTGGTAATACATTCCTTTTCCTCTCGCTGATACGGTTCACAGTTACGCGTGCCTTTGGCTGTACTGATAATCTCTTATTTTGTGGCAGGTTTTGAAAAAATACCCGCGTCTTTGGTGCATGAGCAAGCCTCCCACTCGTCGTCCAAAGCTATATATCGTGAATCTGCAGGTGAGAGCCTTTGGCAGAGGGGTTGTGAAGGGCTCGGGCCCAGCGGCCGCTGGTGGGCGGGGACCGGCCCCGGGCCCCCCCTGCAGCCGCGGGTCTGCTGTCGCTCCCGCAGTGGACCCCCAAGGACGACCTGGCCGCGCTGAAGCTGCACGGCCGCTGCGACGACGTGATGCGGCTGCTGATGGCGGAGCTGGGGCTGGAGATCCCGCGCTACGACCGGTGAGCGGCTGCGCCCGGCCCGGGGCCCGCCCGGCGCGGGGCCCGCCCGGCCCGGGGGCCCGGCCCGCAGCCCGCCCACGCCCGCCCTTGTCTCCGCAGGGCGCGGGACCCCATCTTCGCGCTGGCCGAGCCGCTGCGCCCCGGGGAGGAAGGCACGCACTCGCGGAAGCCGGTGGCCCCGCCGCCTGGCGCCGAGCCGCCGCCGCCGCCGCCGCCGCGGGAGGAGGAGCCGCCGCCGCCCGCCCGCCCCGGCGGCTGGCTGGGCCGCGGCTGCGCCAAGGGCGCCCGGCGCAGGAAGAGCCACTGAGGGCGGGCGGCGGCGGCGGGGACGCGCCCCAAGATGGCGGCGGGGGCGGGGCGGGGCGGGGCGGGGCGGGCGGCGGCCCCGGTGGCGCCGGGGCGGGCGGGCGGGCGGGCGGTGCCGCCGGTGACAGCGCGGCCATGCTGCGCAACGGGGCGGCGGGCGCCGGCGGCCCCGCGGCGGGCGGCGCGGCGGCGCAGCGGCCCGTGCGCGTCTGGTGCGACGGATGGTGAGTGGGGCGGGCGCCGGGGCCGGGGCCGGGCGGGCTGTCGCGGTGCGTCGCCCGGAGAAATAAACCGACTTGGCTGCGCTGCTGCCTCCGGCTCCTCTGTGACCGCGCCGGGCCCCGGGGCCGCGCCCTGCGGCGGAGCGGGGCCCCCCGGGGCGCGCGGCAGCGGGAGGCGGTCGCCGCGGAGCCGGGCGCGCCCTCGGGCTCCAGCCGCCGGGCCGGGCCCCGGTCGCCGGCGGCGCCGTCCCGAGCGCCCGGGGCTGCGGCCGCGCTGCCCCCGGGGCGGGGGGGGGGGGGGCCCGGTCAGGGCCGTGGCGGCGTGAGGAGTGCTGCGGCCGGCCCCCGCCGAGCTGGCTGTGAACGCGGCGGTCCTGCCCGGTACCGGCGGAGAGACTTTAAACCCTTGAGCCGGCGGGGAAGGTCACCGCCCGCAACTTCCCGGCAAAGTGCATCCCTGTGTCCCCAGACTGAACCGGGGCCGTTGTCTTTCTAGCTATGACATGGTGCACTATGGCCACTCGAACCAGCTACGCCAGGCTCGGGCCATGGGAGATTATCTGATTGTTGGAGTCCACACGGATGGTAAGAGGTTTTCTCAGCTTTTCACCTCGTGCTGACTAGAACCGCCCGGCAACGTTAGCCCAGAGGGAACGGATATACCCTGATGCAAGGCAGGCTTCTCCCCGCACCTCCTCAAGGACCAGCAGCCTCTAAAAGAGAAGTGTATCTTCCCTGGGAAAAGGAGCGGAGTTACCTCTTTCACACTTTCCGGAATGAGGATTAGGTAGTTTGGAGCTTCCAGGCTTCGTTGAGGGGTGATCTGGATTTTGTGTTTTGATCTGTTTTTTTGTAAAAAGCCGAGCCAGTTGAAAATCGGTCTGGTTTTGCTGGTGCAAACTGCAGAACTGATTTTCCAAAACATTACTGCGTGGAGAAAACTCATTTGAAACCCATCTGGGAGTTAAGTGATAGGAACTAGTTCTTGTATGTGAAGATGGATTTGAAATTGGTTTATGGATGCATATTTTCTATCACGAACCAAGCGTAGCGTGAAGTTGTTTAAAAGGGGAATTTCCCCCCAGGGGCTGCCAGGAGGCCCAGGTAGTACCCCCAGTAGGAAGTACCTGGGTACGAGGAGGCAATGAGTCCTTTTGCCTTCTGAGTGAAGTCCAGGGCCCTTGTTACACGCTTAGGAAACGCAACTGAATTCAAATCTTTTCTGATCTAGCTGGGGCTTCCTTCTTTACCACAAACCAATTCCAAACTGAGCATAAGCCTGCGGTCAAGTTCACCTGCCCGTGAAATGAGTGAGGCTCCTGTAGGTGAGAGTCTTCGTAGCTGTAGTACATGCTGCTAACTCTGTTTTTCTGTTTCTTGCCCAGAGGAGATTGCCAAGCACAAGGGCCCTCCTGTCTTTACGCAGGAGGAGAGGTATAAAATGGTGCAAGCCATCAAGTGGGTGGATGAGATTGCTCCAGGAGCTCCCTATGTCACCACACTGGAAACCCTGGACAAATATAACTGTGACTTCTGCGTGCATGGTGGTGAGTGGTATTCTGAGGTGATAGTTGTGTTAACACAGGCACCCAGAGGCTTGCAGGCTCTTGGTTTCCCTGCTGCAAACAGAGGAACATTCTGGCCAGCGCTGGCTGTCAGCGGACAGCTCGGGTATGGAGCTCTGCCTTGCCCGTGCCCGCGCTGGGCAGTAGGGCTCCTCCCCTTCTGGTGCTCCTGTGGAATGAATACACCTGTGTGCTAGGCACCCTAAGAGTGGCCAGGTCCCTTGGTTTTAGGTGTTCCTTTCACTTACAGTGGTGACACACATTGTCTGACAATTATCCTGATGTTGCCCTTAGCACCAGCAGAAATTTGTGCGTAGGGGAGAGTCATTTACAAAACTTTAAAGTGAAAAGCACTGTTAAAAATGTAAGTGTGCAGAAATACAACCATGTTTATATCTACTTATCCTGGGATGAGATCAGATCTGAAAAGCTTCTCTCTCTTTATCCAGGTGATAAGCCGTTCAGGGGCTTAGCTGACCGTGTGGTCAGAGACCTAGTTCTTATTATGAACGCTTTTCCGTTTACAGTCACTGAAGAGAACCAGTGTTCTGAGGAAGCATTCTTGCTTTTGTACTCTGTCCCTTCCTGGGACTGCTCCTCATGTTCGTGCAGCCTCAGCCCCTCCTCCTTACCCCTCTGAAGGTATTCTGATAGTTTAATCAGGAGTAGTCTTTGCACTCGTTTCACATATCCTTCCTCATCTGATCCCAGCCACCTGCTATCGATAAGCCAAGTATTTCATTAAATGCAAATAAATCATTAATCTTCTATAAGACAGATAGGCTTTTTCACGTGGACAGGGTGACTGACAAATTCCTTGTTAACTTAATTGCCTGCCCTGAACGTGTCTGGGGTATGTGACCCCTTAACAGACTTGGTGAGGTGAGGCATTACGGCAACAGAGGAGCGCTCGTGGCCTTTGCTCCAGTTTCCCTGCATTTATTCCCTCTGCCAAATCATTCAGTACTTCTACCTGAATAACACCCTTGCGTGCTGCAGTTTTGCCCGGTTGTGTTTATGCAAAAGATAAGTTTTGAGATAGCTCAGCTTAACTGGGAAGGTGACAAACAGCAAGCCCCCTGTTTCTGCCTCTCCCCTGGCACGCAGGGCTGTGCTTGCAGTACTGTTCTCTTCTCCTGTCCCTGTGCCCTGAGGTGAGGGTGTGGGGTTTTAGAAGGACTCTTCAGCTTCCCTGAGTGTGCCACCGGACTGTGTGAGCTGCCAGCGCCTGTACCACAAACTGGCTGTTGTAACAGCTGAAAGCCAGCTTAGGTTTTCATTTGCAAGGATTTTACCCTACCACTGAAAGTAGGTGAGAGGTGTTTTTGTAGAGGGAGTTAGGAACCATGCCAAAGATGAAGCAGAATCAACTCTGTAGAAGGGTGGCTTGATATCGCTGTAGCAGTGCCATCACTGAGAGGGAGAATTGGCTGTTGGAGGACTCTTAAATTGACTGAAAAAGTTGTAGCGTGAATCAATGGCTAAAACCAGTCCTAGAGAAGTTAAGGTTAAGGTGATTTTTAGCACCAAGAGTGATGGTAGCTGTTGGCATTCAGACAATAATTCAGCCATGCCTGCTGCTGAATTCACTGCAGTGGCAACTGGCTCACATTTTTCTGGACTATTTAAACAGCAGTGGACCAGATGGCTAATGGTGCTTAGCACCCAGGAATATAGCTTGTCTCCACAGAGAGGGCAGTCTTGCGAACCTGTGGCATTTCCATGGGATGCAGGACGTGTTCCCTGTGTATGCAGGAGTTCTGTTCTGCCTTATGTGCTGGACCTGTTCAGCTGCTGCTGCTGTCAGTCTAGAACAGCTTTTGTGCAGGAAGGCTGGAGGCGCCGTTCTGAGGCTTTTCTCTCTCTGCAGATGACATCACCTTAACGATAGATGGCAAGGATACATATGAGGAAGTGAAGAAAGCGGGGCGATACAGGTAACTCGATGCTGCTTACCTTCTCATCTTGTTTGGGGCAGAGTTTCTGGGAGTTTGTGCCCTGAAGGGAAGTCAGATGAAACACATCTTTCTTCAGGTCACAGTTTAATTTTGCTGTAACGTGTGTCGGAGTTTCAGTTGCTCCCACCATTTTGGCTTCTGGGGAGTGTTGCAGACTAGCAGCTTTCTGGTGGGAGCTTCCTGTTCCTGGCAGATGTTAGTTCTGGTCTTGGAGCCTCACTGAGGGTTAGCTCTGTTGGGAAGTCTGTGCAAGGTAAGTTTTCCTCATGTGAGCAGTTGCTGTGGTGTGAAGATGCAGATCCTCAGCAGATGAATGTTATACTTCATATTAAAAGCAGGTAGAAGGAAGGCTTTCACAGGATGACCCCTGGTTTGGATTTATCAGGTGTCACAGGTGTTCTGGTAATGGTGGGAAGAGAAAGAGGCATATGCTCCTGTGGCTTCTGCTTTATCCTTTGCTTGTCTCCCTGCAGGGAATGCAAACGCACCCAAGGTGTGTCCACTACCGACCTCGTTGGCCGCATGCTGCTCATGACTAAGGCTCACCACAGCAACATAGTGAGTCAGAGGGCTTTGGGTGGGAGTTTGGAGTCCAGGGCACAAGCCAGCTCCTTCCTTTTGCTGTCACAAATGGCAGTAGAGCTCCTGGGTCTGGCTCCTAGATGCACAGAGAGCTAGCAAGCTGATTATGGGTAGTGGCAGCAAAACAACCTGCTTATGTTTGCTTAAGCCTGTCTGAGTCCATGCTGCTTTGGAAAGGTGTGAGGGGAATAAAAGCTTCAATCGCTCGTGATTGGTGTGGGCTTCAGGAACGCTGTGGGAACTACAGGCTAGCCTGTGGCTTCTCTGAGTGTGAAACTACATAGTGCAGCCACATCCATCTGTCAGCCCAGTGCTGCCAGAATTGGAAAGTCGTCTTCCTTCCCACTGAGCTGCATGCTTCTGCCTTCTGCTGTCTCTACTCTTATCAGACCTTTCTTGAGTCTCTTCAGCTCACTACCCGGTAGATAGCTAACCTAACCAAAATAAAATAAAGGGAGGTGTTTTACGTTGGTTAATGAGTTGAATTGACTTGGTAAACAAGCAATCCAGTGAATGGAATCACCTAGATAACAGCAGGGACAAGACAAGGGACCCACAAGAGAATTCAGGGGTAGAGGGAGATCTTTTAGTGTGCTGAGCTGTTAGGTTGGCTTAGCTGTAAAACGTAAGTTCACACCAAAATCTGGCACAATGCTGCTAGCTGTCTGCAGGGACCTGAGGCCGTCTCCAGTGGTGTGTCTTTGGAGGGAGGAGGGACACTGTCCTGTTAGGGGCTTGAGTAGTTGAGGGAGGATGTAGGTGTGCAATGCTTTCAGGTCTGCAGGTTGGGAAAGAGCCGCTTGGTCACTGCTTGGTGCCAGGCTGGGATCGGATAAGGACACGTTTCATCTGACTCATGCTGGGACAGGACTCTGGTTTAGATATTAACTAGTTTGTCAGCATTCAGTGCCAGGGATCGATGGTGTCTGAGCCTGGACTTCCCAGCACTTTTGCCATACACAGGCATATTCTTGGTTGGATGAGATATGTGAGTGTTTAAACATTTTGACTCTTTATCTCCCTTCAGGATGAGGACCTAGACTGTCGGAAGCACACTGACAACTTTGGGAAGGTAATGTGAGTTCTGGTCGTAGAAGTCTGGTTGTTGTCCTGTCTGAGGATTCCAAATGTGCTTTCTGGCCTGTGTTGCAGGCTTTTTTTTCCACCTCATTTAGTACTAACCTCAGTAGATGTCTGCTGCCCCTGTAGAGTAGCTGCTGTAGTCAGTGAAATGCACAGGTGTGGCTGCTCAGGGCCAGCAAGTGAAGTGTCCTTCAGCGGTGACATGGAGCTGCTGCACCCATTGAGCCTTTGCTGTTTTTCTGGTTTGCTTGTAAATTCTTTATTGCTGCTTCCTTTGGGACCTAAGTGCCTGCAGTTCCAGCCTAGGCACAGCTGCTGTGGATGCTTCTCTTAGAGCTCATGTTTTTAAAGGTGTTGCAGTGGGTCTGGGAAGTGTTTATGTAGCAGACAGGTCGCTCGCATGCTGTGCTGCAGAATTCACATGCCTGGTCTTCAAGTAGCAGAGCAGCCCTCCTGAGGTTCTGCTGTTGTGTTCAGCTCACGTCTTGGGCTACCTCTGAAGAGCTATCAGCCCCTTTTTTTTTTTTTCACTGGGTATTGGATTGTCCCTGATTAACAAACACCTGGATCTGCAGCCCGAGTACATCTTTTTTACTCACAGGGGGTTTGCTGACCAGGCTGAATCATCCTCCTTGTTCCCCACCATTTTGGTTTTTTTGAGCAGGCTTTACAGGGCCTGTTGCTCCAGCATGGCAGTTCCCTGGTGCTGGGGTCTGAGGAGGGTGTCTGGGCACCAGGCGCCCTGCATGACCCCTGTCAGCTGCGCCCTCCTTCTGCATGCTGCTGTTTGTGTGGCTTGCCCCGGTCTCGGCGGAGCTAGCGCTGTTATTTTGGGTCTTGCTGAGCAGGTAGCTTTAGGGGGGCCAAGCAGGTACTGGAGGGGGTGACTCAGTGGCTGTTTCCAAAACTGCCACGTGGTGGGGATAAAGCTCCATCTTCGGTTTCCCCGGCACTGGGATCGGGCCCTTGCTGGAGCTGTGGGCTGGCCCTCCCAGCTTGGCGTGCCGTGGGGCCAGGTGAATGGATGGGCTGCCTTAAGGCTTGAGAAGAGCAGAGGAAGGTTGTGTGTGGTCTCCCTTAGTAAGCCTTGCCTCTCCTGGAAATCCCAGACCGCCCTGTTGCCTTCCTCCTTCCTGAACTTTCTTCTCAGCATCTCCTTAGCTGGCTGTTGAGAGGATGGTTTAGACTGTTTGACAGAGCAAAAAGAGCTTTTATGAGATTGCATAAATATTTGGTGCAAGCAATGTAGAAAGAATATCCAAGTTGCTAAGAGTTGTGATAATTGCCTGCAAATTAAGGCTAGCAAATTGCCTGCAGCTGTATTCTGTGTGTTGTCCAAACCCCCTCCTGGAGCCTGAAAAGGAAATGTGTGTGGTGTGTGTTTTCCCAGGGGCCAAAAGGTCACAGTCCCTGGACTGGGGTCTCACAGTTCCTGCAGACATCTCAGAAGATCATCCAGTTTGCATCAGGGAAGGAACCACAGCCAGGAGACACAATCATCTACGTGGCTGGAGCCTTTGACCTGTTCCGTATCCTTGACTCCGTTTTGTCAAGAAAGTAGCATTGTTTTGTTTGATGTTTTCATGTTTTGAGACACTAGACTAAGATATAAGCATCTTTTTTTTTTTTTTTTTTTTTTCTCCCCCTTTTTTTTTTCTTTTCTCTATGTATGCATGTGAGGGAGGAGGTAGAAGTTCTTACTGGCAGTTTCTTAGTCACAGGACACTGAGGAAGGAGCTATAGCTACTCTCTAGAGGGACTTGTGGCTGTTGGAGGATTTCAGGACAGTTGGATACTCTCCATGCTCTAGAGGTCACACTCTAGTCCCTCTTGAGGACCAAGTGACTGCACAGGGCATCTGGAATAGACACTTCATTGCTGGGACAGTCTTTGAGGCACTGTGCCAGAACACTCAAAACAGGAAGAAATTCTGGATGGAGGCAAAGCTAAGTCCATGTACGACGGAGCTGAAAAGATGTCTGGCTTTTACCCAGAAGCTGTGGAACCTGAGGAGGGAGGCAGCATCTGTTCTTAGGACATAGGCAACAAGTAATGCAAAAATAAAATTTGTGGGATTCCTGTCATCCACTGTGGTTTTTCAGTGTATCTGTTTCTGTCTGTCTTTCCCTGTTTTCCATGTCAGCTTCAGTTCCTTAAACAGATCTACAGACATTGGGCATGTAGATTTCCTGGAGAAGGTTCACCAGCTGGCAGAGAAACCCTACATCATTGCTGGGCTGCACTTTGATCAGGTCTGTATATAACATTGTCCAAAGACTGACCAGCTTGGCCCCTGTTCTTTCTGAAACAAGTGGGCTGTGCTCTGGAAGACAGGAAAGGGATGTGTTGGCCAATACAGGATTTTCATGTTGGGAGAAAGTGAGAGGGAAGGGGGTTGCTTTGTCTCTCTTCTAATTGTGTCTGGTGTTTTGCCGTAGGAAGTAAATCGCTACAAAGGGAAGAACTATCCCATCATGAACATCCACGAGAGAACACTCAGTGTCCTGGCCTGCAGGGTAAGGGCCTCTCGGGTGGGTGCCTCTACGCTGTTCCAGAAATTGCCTGGAGCTGTGTGGTGTCCACCTGTAGCCAACAATCTTGCACAGTTCTTCGTGCACTGAGAAAACAGCGACTGATCACTTCAGGCTGCCAGAGGTGCTGGTGTGCTCTCGGGAGACATCATGAGGCTCCTCTGTCATCATCCTGGCTAACCTGGGCTATTGAGCGCGTCCACCTCTGTTCCACCAGCAGTGAAAAGGCAGGATGCCTCGCAGAGTGCTGCTCTGCTCTATGAGGAGAGCTGTGTTCTTGTAGAAAACTCTCTGCTCCCTGCAGTGGGGCAGAAAATTCCTGGGAGAGAAATGTGGGGAGGCCCAGAAATGTGTGCCCAGAGCAATTGACTTTTGGATTTGCTATATATGCACTAAGAGAAAGTATATTCTTTAGTGGATTAAAAAGATGCTGTGTGACAAGCAGTGGCTGCTAAACCCACTTTCATGTTCCCTTATTTGAATTCCTAACTCTACAATCAGATAACCTGCTCAAGTCTGTTTAGGAAGCAGGCTGGCTTCCGTTTTGGGGTTTGGTTTGTTTTTTGGGGGGATGGTTTTTGTTTTGTTTTTTTTTTTCCAAATCTGGACTCTTTACCTCGTTTCTTTTCTAGTATGTCTCAGAAGTGGTGATTGGAGCCCCTTATGCTGTCACTGCTGATCTGCTGGATCACTTCAGGGTGAGTCTCTTCGTATAGATGGACATGAAGGTGTCGGTGTGTGATGCGCTTAGGGAGCTAAAGTGGTGCAGGAAAACACAGGGGTGTAGAAGAGAAACAGTCCTGCTCAGCAGGATTACGGGGAGCTCCAGATGCACCGCCAAGCCTGGTAGAGGAGGGGTGGCTTTGCTGATCTCCAGGCTATGCTGCAGTGAGTGCAGTGGCAGGGAAAATCTCTGTCACCTTTTGGATCTTGTCAGTGACTTCGTGTCCTTCTCCAGGTAACATTGGTGTGTCATGGGATGACTGAGGTGGTGCCAGACAAGGATGGTTCTGATCCATACAAGGTAAGCTACTAGCTGCTGTTGTCCATGCTCCTTTGTCAGCATTTGATAGACACTGCATGGCTTGCTTTTGTGTTCCTGAGCTGAGAATTTGTATTGCAAAGGATGCTACCCAAGCAAATCCTTGGCAGGTGATGCTGTTTTTCATCCAACCCTGAGGGTAGCTACTTGGAGCAGAGCTTGTAAATCATTTCCAGCAGCGTCATTCTTTTAGTCACTGTTTTGTTTTGCCTTTTTCTGATGACTTCATGGTAGAGTGAGAAATCATGTAATCTTTGCTCTGTGCCAGTCCTGGGCATCTCCCATATACATGAAGCTTTGCTTTCAGCATTTATTTATTCTGTGTCCTAGGAGATCATTTTGTGTGGTGCCTGGCTGAGTGCCCGTAGGACCTGCCATGACTTCTGCTCAGCTTTCACTACTGAGCTGTAAACCTGGAGGTCTTGCATGTCTTTCACAGCTGAGTCTGCTGTGTTTGTTCACAGGAACCGAAGAGGCGCAACATTTTCCAGCTGGTGGACAGCGGCAGCAATCTCACCACAGATTTAATTGTGCAAAGAATCATCAAGAACAGGTTAGCTTTCTTCATCTCCCAGCTCTGTTGCATACTGTTCCATCCAGCTTGTCCGAGGACTAATTAATGGGATCAAACAGGAAAAGAAGAGTTTATCTAAAGGCACAGGTCCTTCATCTTCCAGAGCTTGGGCAGGCTGCTTAAATGTGGCTGTGCTGGACTGTACAGGAAAAGGAGCAGCTAAACTGTCAGAATGTGCTTCACAGCACGTTTTATTATTTTTCCTCCTCCTCTATTAATGATAAAATTTTCTTGCTGTGTTCTTGTGGGAAAAAGCATGTTGCTGCTTTCAGAGCTTTGTTCTTCTAGGCCTGAGCCCTTCACCTTCAGGAACCTTGGCTCAAGTCAGTGATAAATTTGATTTTGGTATTACGGCATTAAGTGGTCTGTCCCAGGATGGGCCAAGTGTGGGATAGCAGCATCTTCCACAGAGGCAGAAATAAGTAGTGTCTGACCAGTGTGGGAGCTTAGGGCTTCAGAGTGATGGTAACAGTTGTGGGAAGCTCCGTGTGCTGGCTCTTGAAGAGGAGTCTGCGTGTTACTGGTGAGATTTCTCAAGTACTCTCAGAACAAAGCAGTGCAGGAGAAGGCAGTGCTCCCCTGCTCCAGGTGCTTGTGGTCTACTAGAGCTATGGATGGATGAGAATCTCATGGCATTTTGTGGTTGATGCAGGCTGGAGTTTGAAGCTAGGAACCAGAAGAAGGAAGCAAAAGAGCTGGCTGTGTTGGAGGCCATGAAGAGACTGGAAGAGGAGAAGCACTAGGCCAGCAGAGAGCTGATGCGTGGATCGCAGAGTGCTGCAGCCTCATCCTCTTGAGGAGCAGAGAGCTCTTTGAGAGAGGACCCCTGAAAGGGAACACTGCTGCTGGCATGCAGGATGTGCTGTCCTACCCTCTTCTGTGCTAGCTCCTCCTGCACTAATTATGCAGATATAATGAGTCGGGATCCTGCTGCCTAGTTTTTCCTCCATTAATCAGCCCCCCTTCCCCTTTCCCAGGAGGAGATCTGACAAAAGAAAAAAACCTCGGTTTTAATTATAACGAATGTTTTAACATGTTGATGTGCTTTTACCTTCTGCCACTTCTGGCTTTTAGTAGGAGGGAAACGGAGCCAGTCACCCAGGCCCCCTCTGCCCCGCCAGGTTCGGCTGTCCTGACCCGAGTCTGGGTTCCAGAGCAGCCCTCTGGGCGGTGTTGGGGGCCGCTGGACAGACTGGTGAGAACGGCCTCCCCAGGAAGAGGGCACGGCACGCAGTTCCTCCTGCGAGCTTTTGGCTGGGGACACTGGGCCATTGCTGTGCCGGCTGCTGGAGCTGCCAATGGGCCCTGTGCTCTGGGGTTCACTGTGCTGCCTCTTCCCAGCTGCTGCCCCTGCACAAATACCAGACCCAAAGTTCCTTTGGGTTTAGCTGGTTAAAGCCTCTCTCCGCTGTGCCAGCGCATCGTTCGCTGCCCCAGGAACAGGCAGTGGCTTGGCAGCTGCTGAGAGGGGTGGGTGGCTGGTGGCACAGGGACCCTTGGTTCTGCGGTTTCCCTGGCAGGTTGAGGCATTTCTCCGCACGAGGCACGGGAACCCTGAGGGCTTTTGCCAAAGGCTTTTCCTGTCCCGAGGCAGCAGGACCTGCTGCTGCGTGTAGACCGTGCTCAGAGCCCTGCTTTGCTGCTGCTGCCAGAGTACACCTCGTGCCTGACGGGTTAGCTAAGGGAGGGACCTGAAACTTCACTGCTGTTTTCTGAGGGCTGACATGCAGCGTGCGTGCCCCTGCGGGGAGGTGCAGGACCTGAGGAGGATGGGTGCTGGGCTGAGCCCCTTTCTGCCTCTTACATTCCAGGGTGCTGTGGTGGGTGTCCTGGGCTGCTCCCTGCACTGTGCTGGATGGTCCTTCCATGCTGATTCTGTTGTCTTCTCTGTTGTCAACTTTTGTTGCTGATCATTAATAAAATGTTGAAGAGTTGTGTGTTGGTCTCTCTGGGGCTCAAGCCTGGGTAGCAGAAAGGGGCCAGGCCCCTGGCTGGAGACTCTTCTACAGCAGCTTTTCCCTGGAGCTCTGATGGGAGTGGGGAAGAGGCTGCTGTGGCCCAAGAAGGAGCTCGTTGCGCTTGGGCAGCCCAGCCTGAGCCTTGGGGCACATTGGGTTTGATCTGGCACAGGGCTTGGGAATCGATCTGGCTAGAAGCTGTTTGCTCTTACTGTGGAAGGAAGTTTTTCCTGAATTCAGTAGAAAATTGAACTAGGCTGTGTTCTGCGGTTTTTATGCATTCTGGGCTCTAAAATTGCAGCAGAATTTGCACTGGGAAGGTGAGGGTCAGCAGTTTGGTGAGTATGTAACTGTGATGGGTACGGAGGAAGGAGGTGACCTGAATTCTGCTGTTGGCTTGATGCGTCATCGTGCCAAAGCAGCACCTGTGACCAGCCGGGGTGGGTCTGTCCTGCTGCTTAGAGGGGCTGCGGCGAGGACAGATCAGCCATGGGGCTCGGGGTCTCACAGCTGCCTAGTTGTGAATCCTAGGGCCTGTGTTTGCACACTGGCGTTTCAGTAATCAGTGTCACCCGTGGCAAGAGCCCAACCACCCACCCGTGTGGGAGTGCTCCCTGCCATGGACTGGGCAGAGGGATGGGAGAACCAAGAGCCTCCTCTCCTCCCTCCCCTGATGTAGCTGGAGCCCCTCGGGTGCCTGGGGCAGGAACAGCAGTCACAACCCTGTGCCGGGTTGAGCGTGGGTGATGCTGTGAGTGTCTGCTCATCCTGGGCTCCTCCCAGCCATCCCTTGCAGCCCCAAGGCCACGCCTGGGACCCAGGTGCTCCTGCTCAGCTCGAGAGGGTGAGGAAGGGCTGGCTGGTCCTTGCTGCTCCCAGCCTTGGCCACTGTGCTCCATGCTGTGCTCTGGGTTCTTCCCTGGGGTGGGAAAGGGCTCTTCAGCAGCGAGGCCACGCTCTGTGGGGTGTGCTGCAGCTGGAGAGGAAAGGGCAGCCCTTGGGGTGTGTGGGAGTGATCCCAAACTTCTGCTGCCCTTTTTGTTGAGGAGGAAGATGCTTCCTCTCCGGGGAGGTAATGCCCGTCTTGCCGACTGGCTGCGAGATGACAGCTGTAGTGGAAAGCCTGTTGCTGTGACTCCTGCCTGGCTGGGGACCGTCCCCAGGGTCTGGGGAACAGATATCTCCCTCTGAGGGGGTCCAGGCAAGCTCTTGCTGCTGCTACTCCTCTGCTCCTGCGCAGAGGCTGCTCCGCTGCAGCTCCCCAGCCAGGACCAGGGCTCATCCCTTCCTGACCTGAGGCACCTGCGGCTGCTGCTGTCGGGCAGGTCAGGCTTCACCCCTGGCTGAACCGGTGGTTTGCGGGCTGTGCCCTGGTCCAGCTACAGCCCAGCAGAGCACAGGTGGGAGGGTCTCAGCTGCCCTGGGGGTCTGTGAGATGGAGCCGAGCCCTGTCTGTGGCTGGGGTGTGGGCTGCGGAGCGGGGTGAGTCCCAGCTGGAGGGGAGTGGCTCAGGGTGGGGTGCAGGCAGAACCACTGTTGGGCACTGGGGACACGTGTGCTGGGGCAGAGCTGGTGCTCTGCTCTAGCCTGTGTTACAGCCCAGCCCCGTGCACCTGCGGAAGCCCCGCTGCTCCGGTGCAGGTCGGCTCCGCTTCGCCCCTGCAGCAGCCGTGACTGAGCAGTTGGCCCCTTCCTGGGACCCGCTGGCTGCTGAGCGTGGCAATAACCCCTCCCACGGAGACGGCAGAAGTTTGTCATTAAAAATAAACAACTCAGCCGCAGTGACACAGATATCCCAGGCTGAGCATTTGCATGTAAATGAGCTGCCTCTGGGAGCAGAACAGGTACTGCTGTTCTTAAAAAAAATGACAAAATTAGTTTATTTCTGCTCTCATCATGCACGGGTGCTTGCCGGCTGGTATGACTTACATGGAACTGTCAGCTTCGTTTGCTCAGCTGGAGCATGGTGGAGCTGTTGTTCCTTGGGGGCCTCCCAGAGCTGTTTTTGAGTTTCCACTGAAAACTTTTGCGTATGATGTTCTTTTCTCCGAGTACCTCTGGGTCCTTCTCCTAAGCTTGTTTACTGACAACCTGTGAGTCCCAGGGGCAAAAATGAATGTGGATTTAAAACGGGGGATGTCATGAATTTCGCATTTGTGACTGACTTTATTTTCTGTGTTTTTTTTTTTCCCCCCCAAGTGCAGAAGATCAAGACTCCGGTTCCTGCACCCAGCCCAAGGAAGCCCCCTCCCTTGCGGTGCAGACTGCAGTGAGCGCCTGATATTTCTCTAACGGGAACTAATTCGCTGGAACAGTCGTAGCAGGTGCCTTAATCTTGTAAGAGCAGCTGTGACCCTGCTGAGGGGACTCCAGCAGCTTTATCCCAGACCCCCAGGGCCCCGTTAGCCATTCCCTGGAACAATTTGCCAGTTCAGATCAGTAAAGGATTTTTTTTCCACCAGGTGTTTGTGCAGCCACAGGACAGGGCGGACTGTAAGGCCAGAGCCACGCTGGTGCTATCGCAGGTCCCTGGGACTCAGTGGAGCCCAGAGGTGGAGTCGAAGCTGGGGGGCAGGCAGTGGGGCTGCCCGTCTCCCCAGGGACCCCTGCGCTCTGCCGTGCTCAGCCCCAGCCCTGCTCCTGCTGCCAGCTCCCCCCACACGGTCCCAGCTGGGCTGTCACTGCCCTCTCGCTCAGAGCCTCTCCAAACCACCCCCCCCCTGCATAACATTCTGGCACTGCCCAGGGCACAGCCCCTCCCTGGCTTTGTCTTTCCTGACCCGGGGCAGCCCCCGGCCCTGATGGGGCCCTGCAGGGCTGGGGGAACCTGCAGGGAGCAGGGGGGACAGCAGCCTGGAGCGCCCCAGACCCAGGGGGCTCCCCCCACCCCGCAGCACCTCCCTTCCCAGCAAAGACAGACGCCCCCGAGCCAGCCCGAGCGTTTATTGTCACCACGGAGCCACCGGTGCCGGCTCAGGCACCCGCACACTCCCCGGGGTCCAGGGACACGGTGATGTCCGCCTTGGAGCGGAGAGTGCTGGGGGCTCCAGGCTGCACCCGACAGGTCCAGGGCTCAGGGGTCACATCTGTCATGCACAGCACCTGCGGGGGAGACCATCAACAGGGACCCGGGTCCCTGGGGGCCACGGCGCTGCTGGAGGGGAGCCGGGGTGTCCCCACCGTGTCTGGTGGGCAGGACACCCCGCTCCCGCTGCTCAGCGCCGTGGAGGGGGCCTGGTCCCCGCACAGCCCCCGGTACTCACCGCGGAGCTGCGCGAGCGGGCAGGCCGAGCCGGGCTGCAGCACCGCGGGGCCGGTCCCGGCGGGGCCGTCGGTGCCGGAGAGCAGCCCCGAGGCTCTGCCCCCCCCGAGCGGTGCCGGGGTGGGGCCCGGCCGGGGGCCGGTACCGGGGCTCCGCGGGGCGGCAGAGCAGGCGCAGCGCCAGCCCGCGGGCAGCGAACATGGTGCCGGCGGGGCCGCAGCGCTCCGGGGCCGCTTTTCCAACCGGGCGGGGGGCCCGCCTCGCCCCCGTCCCCGTCCCCGTCCCCATCCCGCCCTCCCGGGAGCCCCTCGGCGGCGGCCCCACCGCCCTCCCGCCCCCGCCCCGCCCGCAGAAGGACAGCGGACACCGGACAGACAGAGAGCGCGGGGGCGGCCGCACGTTTATTGACGGGGGGGCCTGGCCGTCACTCCTTGAACTTCCACTCCTGTCGGCACATGGGGCAGTGCTGCTGGACCTGCTGCGAGTTCAGCCACTTGAGGATGCAGTGCATGTGGAAGCAGTGTGAGCACTGCCCCCACACCAGCGGGCAGTCGTCCCCGGGCACCTTGCCTGCGGCGTGGGCAGCCCGTCAGGTCAGCGCCGCGTCCCGGCCCCGCCGCCGCCGCCCGCCCCGGCCCCGGCCCCGGCGCCCCCCGCACTCACAGTCGGGGCAGCAGCCGTTGAACGCCATACGGCAGATCCCGCAGTTCTCGTCGTTCGCCACCCACAGCCACGACGCGACGCCATGCCAGCTCCGCACGCGCACCCGCATCGCCCGCCCGCCCGGAAGTCCCGCCCGGCCGGGCGGCCCGCCCCTTCCGCTTCCGGCGGCGGCGCAGCGCGGCCGGAAGTGCAGGCCCCGGAGCGGAGCCGCCATCATGGCCGACAAGATGGACATGTCCCTGGACGATATCATTAAGCTCAACCGGAGCCAGCGGGGCGCCGGCCGGGGCGGCGGCCGGGGCGGCCGGGGACGGGGCGGCGCCACCCGCGGGGGCGGGCCCGGCCGGGGCGGCGTGGGAGCCGGGCGAGCGGGCGGCGGCGGCCCCGTGCGGAACAGGCCGGTGATGGCCCGGGGCGGCGGCAGGAACCGGCCCGCGCCCTACAGCCGGGTACGGAGCGCGGCGGGGAGCGCGGCCGGTCCGCGGGGCTCGGCGGCGCCGCGGGGGGCCGGGGCGGCGGGCCGGGGCGGCGGGTGGGCGGCCCTTTGTCCGCGCCCGGCGGCGGCCCGCGGTGCCCTGGCGCCGGTCAGCGAGGTCCCGGTCTCGTTGCAGCCGAAGCAGCTCCCCGAGAAGTGGCAGCACGACCTGTTCGACAGCGGCTTCGGGGCGGGGGCCGGCGTGGAGACCGGCGGGAAGCTGCTCGTCTCGAACCTGGACTTCGGCGTCTCGGACGCGGACATCCAGGTGAGGGGCGGGGGGCTGGGATCCCCCCCCTCGGGGCCGGGCGCCCCGCAGGGCCCGCTGCTTCCGCGGTGAGGGGGTTTGTGGCGGGAGCAGCGGCTTTGGCGATCCCCGGGGGGCTGCAGTTCGGAAGAGGCTCCATCCGCGGTGGAGCGGGAGCTGGTCGCGTCGTAAGCGCCTGTGCCACAGCGCACGTGTGGGAGATAACGCCGCTTTTGGCTGGGTCCGGGTGCGGCCGGAGCGTTCACTGTAAACTGTGCAACCTCTTAAGAGCTTAAGAGCTGCGCCGCGGCAGAAATCCCGTGACTGCCCGGCACGTTCGCCTGCATGCTGCGCTTCCGCGGGGCCGGTTTGTGCGGCTGTGCCGAAGCTGCGTCCTGTTGAGTGTCGCATTCCCACGGGCGCATCTCTCAGCACGACCGGGAAGACTTATTTGTGTGGGAGCACATGCTCCCCTGCGTCTGTGCTGCCTGCTGCATCGACTCTTTCAGCCGCGTTGCCTGCTGTGGCCGTGTCCCTTGTTTCAGCCGTGCCTTGGGTGAGAGCCTGCCCAGTTCGTGCAGTCAGGTGCACGGTGCGATCTGTCTCTGGCTGGGGCCGAGGCGTGCTGCTCCTGCCCTGCTGCGAGGGCACGGTCACAAGTGGGCACTGAGTTGTGCAGGAATAAACGTTTGCAAATGCTGAGCATGTCCCCACTGGCGGCTCTGCTGGCTCGGTCACACTGTGAAGCATTTCTGTGTAAATCAGCTTCTGGTCCTCACCAGCGAAAAACAAACAACTACTTTTACGCTTCCTTCAGCAGTTAATTCATTCCCGTTACTCAAGGTGCTGGTCTGGCTGCACCTGGGGAAATGGAAGTGAGCTTTTTCAGGTCACCTAATTACTGGGTAATGTGCTTAAACCCATCCCTTTTCCTGGTGTGAGTTCAGGTTGGGTTTAAATAAATTTCTTATGCGTTGTAGTCAGGCCCTGACGTGTAAAACATGGCCCTGTGAAGTCACCTCAGTTTAACCAGTTCCTGTGTTCTTTGTGGCAGTTCAGATTCGCTCTTTCCGCCGCTGGCTTGGGCTGTGGCGTGGACAAACTTCCACCTATGGTTTATTTAGCAGTGCAGCTGACTTAATGGATTTGCACCTATTTGTTACTACCCGTCCCGTAATTTAGCGCTGCCTCAGATGTGGTGATTGCTGGCTTTGTTTCCGTGCTCACCGCATTGTTACCGCGGAACGGCTGGGGCAGTGGACTTGCTGGAAGGAGCCTGGATCATGCCTCGCCCTTGGAGAAGCTGCACAGTGTTGCTCTGCCCGCAGAGCCCGAGCTCTGCAGCGCAGAGAGGGGCCGGTGGCTGAGCTGCCCGTGGTGCGCTCCGCTCCCCAAAGCTGCTGTCGAGTGCCGTGTAACGGTCACCTCCGCTGAATGAGCGCGAGGGAGGAGCTGGCCTGCAGCCCTGCTGCAAGTGCTGCTTGCTTAGGAGGTGGGAGAAGGCGTGCGGTGCCCCGACAGACGCCTGGGCAGCAGCTCACAGCTGCGTGGCAATCGAGCTTCGCAGCAGATGCTGGCGAAGGTGGCCGGTCCCTCCGGAGCAGATGTTGAGCTGTCGAGGCATGGGGCGTAGCAGAAACATGCAGAGGCAAGGCGTCCTTGCTGACTTCCTAAACGCAGCACCTCTGAAATAGAATTGGCGGCTCCATTGCTGCCTCTTTGTTTCCATCCTTCGTGACCGTGAGTTACATACTTCAGTAAAGGGCTTTCCCTAGTTAAATTTTTGGGGTATATTCCTAATGAGCTGTGTTTTAAGTTGCATCTGATTTAGTAAAGATTTAAGAAGAGAAACAAAAAAAAAAAGTCCAGCACAATGAAACTGTGATCATCTCATGAATCCCTGCATTCATACATATCATTCTTCCTCTGTAAAGTGGATTAGGGTCTGGATTATTTTTAAATAGTCACCCCATTGACTCAGCCCTGACAGAGAGACCTGCAGGTTCCCTTGAGTCTGCCTTGTTGGCTGTAAACATGCACCCTGTGAGTGGTGAATATGGAGTCCTGCTTGGTTTTGCCACCTGTGGCAACTTTCTGAAATCCTTCTGATGGGTGTGTGCTCCCCTTTTTCATCCGTGCTTTCTCTGCGTTGTCAATAATGTTGGGAAAAGCGCCGGCGATTGCCAAGGGCAGTTTGTGTGCGGGGAACTTCCGGCACCATCTGGGCTGAGCGCTGTTTGCAGCGCTGATGGATGTGTGTGCTCTTCTCCCTCTTCTTTCTCAGGAACTCTTTGCAGAGTTTGGGACCTTGAAGAAGGCAGCCGTGCACTATGACAGATCCGGCCGCAGCCTAGGGACGGCGGACGTGCATTTCGAAAGGAAGGCAGATGCTCTGAAAGCGATGAAGCAGTACAACGGAGTCCCCTTGGACGGTGAGTCTGCGCGGCCGCCTCCGCAGCGTGTGTCACCGGCTGGCTGGAGCCACCCGCGCGCCCGTGTCCCGCCCGCAGGCTCACGGGCTGCTCTTCCTCCAGGGCGCCCCATGAACATTCAGCTGGTCACGTCACAGATCGACACACAGAGGAGACCAGCGCAGAGGTGAGGTGCCGCACGGCCGTGGAGTCGCTGTGCCCGGTCAGTGCGGGGCGGGAACGTGCCCGGCCCCTCTGTGTAGGAAGCGTGGATCCGTCTCCCATTCAGCAAACTTCTGCGTTTGGGTTAACCGGAATGCACTAAACCAGTTGCTCTTTAAAAATCACAGTGTAAACAGAGGTGGCATGACCAGAAACCGCGGTGGTTCAGGAGGATTTGGTGGTGGAGGAGGCAACAGGCGAGGTACTCGTGGTGGGAACAGAGGGAGAGGCAGAGGAGCTGGAAGAACTTCCAAACAGCAGCTCTCCGCAGAAGAATTAGACGCACAGCTGGATGCTTACAATGCCAGGGTAAGTGCTGCTTGGGTGGTGGCCACAGGTTCCCCGCTGGCACCTCGTTCTGGGAAACACTGGCAGCCCATTGGCAGGAACGAGAAAGTGTCTTCCAGGTCCTTGGTCTAAAGCTGAGCAGTGCCTTGGGCAGGTGGCTTTACTTTCCACAACACTTTTTCAACTCCTGTTACTGCCACCCAAGAATCGGCCCCTTTTCCGGCTCCCCAGCTCGCTGGGGCTGCTGTAGGGCCGGCGTAGGGCAGGATCTTCCATAGCTAGGAGAGCTGTGACGAGCAGTTGCTGCGTAACACAACCCCACAGAGATAATGGGCTGGAGGAATGAGAAACAAAAAGAAAAAAGTGAAATAACTACACAGGTTGCTGACAGAGGAAAGGTCAGCGATGCTGGTGGCGGATATGGGGCTGTGACACCCAGGGCCACGTGTGCTGCCGGCTGCCGTCAAAACCGCTCGGATGTCCCCATGCTGCAGCCGAGTTAAAACCTCGATAGAGCCGAGGTGGCGCGCGTGCGATGGCAGCGAGGCAGCTTTGTGGGAATGGCACAAAACTCAGGCGAGAGTGGAAGAAGCAGGATGAGCACAATTCCAGGGGGAAAAACAAAAAAAAAAAGTCACAGGAATGTCCGGTGTTTTAGAAGGGTCTCCTCCGGCGTGAGCGGGGAGGGGGGAGCGCAGCGGGGCAGTTGGGCGCTGTGGGGTGGAGCAGGGTGGGGTGCTGGGGCAGCGTGGGGCACCGGGGTGTGCGGTGACGGCTCCTCTCCTCTCTTCCAGATGGACACCAGCTAAAGCGGCGGGCAGCGGGCGCAGGGAAGGACTCCGATCTCACTCCACGCACCCGGCGGGGGCTGCGGCCGTGGCTACTAATACTGAGGATGGGATTTGTTTTACTTTTACGTTCTGGGATAGGTTTTCAACTCCTGTAAAGGTTTTTTTTAATTCTAAAGCAGACCTGTTTTGTACCGAGTTATTTTTGGGATAAATTTTACTGGTTGCCTGTTGGGCCGAGGTGGCTTTTTCACCTTTGCCGTAATAAAATAGAACCGTGTCTAGAGCTGTGGACGCCTCCCCGCCCCGCTGCGCCCGCGCGCGCCTTCCCGCGCCGCGCCCCGCCCCGCCCGCGCGCGCCTTCCCGCGCCCCGCCCCGCGGCGCTCTGCCCCCCCGCCCCGACTCTATCGCCCGTCCCGCCGTCGCGCGCGCACCCCCTGGGCCAATCAGCGCGCCGGGCCGCGGCCGGAAGTGAGGCGCGGGGCCGAGCCGCGTCTAACGGGAAGCGGCGGGCGTGTCCCGGAAGTGCGGGGGCGCGCGGGCGGCTGGGCGGATCCCGGCGCCGTTGTCACCGCAGCGCGGAGCGCGAGCAGGGCCGGTAGGGCGGGGCGGGGCGGGGGGCACCGGGCGCGGGGAACGGGAAGGGGAGCGGGGTCCCGGTACCGGCGCCCTTGCTC